AATCTTACGCGGGAGAAAACCCGAATAACCAAAGATCCACATACAAATACCCGCGAGAACCTCAGAAAACATACACACACACACACACACACACACACACACACACGTATGAATGTGAAAGAGAAAAACAGAGAGAGAGGAAGAATATCAATAAATATATTAAGACAGAGGCTGCATATTTATAATACTTATAATAGTTGTATGCTGGCTGTGGAATTCTGGAAGTTGATGTCTACACATCTTAAAGTTGCCAAGTTTGAAAAACGCTGCTGTGTAGATTATATAACATAGCTAAGTATCTGAAGCATACTGAAACTAATGTTATCTGTAATGACATTTTTTAGCTTTTATTTTTTAATCAGGAGACGTTTACTTACCTTGGCTGTACAAATCTCCTGTATTTGGGTTTGTCAGAAATGGTAGAAAGTCATCCACGTGACTTCTCATATACTCTGCAGTCTGACTTCTAAGTGTTGAAACTGTCCACAAGTTTTGTTGCTCTTTGAGCTGATCTTCAATAGCTCTATACAGGCAATGACCATCAGATGGGATTTGCTTAATTTCCAACTGCCTTAAGGCTAAAATGTTTGCAAGTTTCTGGCTTTCAAGGTGCCTAGCACCTGTTAAATTTTCTATCTCAGCTTCTGCTATTCTTTCTTCTCTTTCTTTTTCCAGGGCTGCTTTTTTATCCTGTGATGAAACACAGCAAAACACTGCAGTTTTACATTCGTCCATGTCATATTTTAATTCAGCCTATAGAGTTTAATCTTTTCAGGTATTTATGATATTATACTAGACAACTTGTACCCTGTTGGGTCATCATTTCAGAGGTATTTCCTACCTAAACAGAAACAGAATAGCTAAGGAAGGTGAAAAAGCAAGAGCAACCTCTGACTTCCTGCTGGCTTCCCCATTGAGTTACCTGTGGGATATGGCAGGGATTAAGGAAAAGCAACCAACCTTCCTTCCTTCCTCCCTTCCTTCCCTTCCTCCCTCCAGTGGTGGGATTACAATTTTTTTTACTACCGGTTCTGTGGGCGTGGCTTAGTGGGCATGGCAGGCAAAGGATACTATAAAATCTCCAGTCAGGGGTGGTATTTGCTGGTTCTCCAAATTACTTAAAATTTCAGCTACCGGTTCTCCAGAACTGGTCAGAACCTGCTGAATACCACCTCTGCCTCTCTCCCTCCCTTCCCTCCCTTCCTTCCTTCCCTCCTTTCCTTCCTTTGAAGGAAGGAAAGTGACTCTTGCTAGGTGGGGAGAAAGTGAGGGATTGCCAAACTGGCGTGGCAACTGTCACAGAATGTTGAGAATGAAGATTACATGACTACAGCAGTAGCAGCCAGCAGCACTAAAGCAGCCACAACTTTTCCAAATTTCATTCCCTCAGGCGTCATGGTTTCCAGATTTTGGACACATTCTGAATGTTAGTCCATCTAAAGTACCTTGGTTCAAAAAGTGTTGCCCTATGACGCACTGTTCTGCCCCAGTTAAAGGTCATGACAACAGGAGTTTTAGTAGTATATGGATCCAGTTTGACTAACAGAGTTATATAACATAAGAAAAATACTAAATCATAATATTGTATGTTCAATACTGTACAGACCTTTTATCGAGATATTTCAGTTGCACCAAGTCTGCTTTTCAAAAGAAAACGTCAAATAAAAGACAGTGTCATATGCTTTCAAGCCCAGCTTGCTGATCTGAAGAGCGAAATCAGCTTGCCTGAAGATTTACCCTGTGTGATTTTTGGTCCTTTGCTATTCTTCATCTCAGAATAATATTGCACAGCATTTAAAATACAATTTTCAGAAGGATTTCAATGATACATTATGTTAAATGTGTTTCATAACAATGTTCTCTTTTGTTATTCATCAGTGGCAATTCCTTGGCAAACTAGTATGTCTGTCACCAGCAAAGTACAAGCAGAGTGCTGTAGAGATTAAGCTATCAGATTTTGGCAATCTTGTTATGAGAAGTTCTCTTATTGTTACCTCATGAAAAAAAACGGAAACATCTGATAGAATCCAGAATCCCGTTTAGCAGAAATATGCCTTTGGAATTGAAGGAATCTCTCCTTCATCCTACAGTCTCTAGACCACTCTTTGGAGGCTTGGGAAATCATCTGGAGTAAAATGAGGGGTAGCATAATGGGAAGAAGGAAAAGGGAAAAGTAGATCCTTGCCCACATACCTCTAACCCTCAAATATGGCAGTCGTAGATTGGAAAGTATCTATTTTACAAGTAGTCCTCAACTTTCAACCACAACTGGAACCAGGATTTCCATTGCTAAACAAAGTGGCTGTTAAGTGATTTGCACCTCATTTTATGAGTTTTTGCCGTAAATTATTAAGTGAATTGACTTTGCTTGGCTTTGAAGGTTGCAAAGCTGTGGTGGCGCAGTGGTTAGTAACAGCAATAGCACTTAGACTTATATACCGCTTTATAGTGCTTTACAGCCCTCTCTAAGTGGTTTTACAGAGTCAGCATATTGCCCCCAACAATCTGGGCTACTTCTGCTGACTGCTGGTGCCAGCAGTTGGAAGTTCGATTCTCACCCAGCTCAAGGTTGACTCAGCCTTCCATCCTTCCGAGGTCAGTAAAATGGGGACCCAGATTGTTGGGGGCAATATGCTGACTCTGTAAACTGCTTAGAGAGGGCTATAAAGCACTATAAAGCGGTATATAAGTCTAAGTGCTATTGCTATTGCAAATGGCATTCAAATGATCCCAGAACACTGCAATTGTCATAAATGCATGCCAATTGCCAAGCACTCAGATTTTGTTCATGTGATTATGGGGATGCCACAATAGTCATTAAGTGGGAGGACTGGTTGTACATCACTTTTTTCAGCCCATTTTAACTTTGAACAGTTGCTAAATGAATGGTTTTAAGATTTTCAGATGGACAAATACAGGCAAAACCACACATAATTTCACCTAATTATTTCTGTGCATACTTTCCTCCCCGTTTAATTGTGAAACAACATAAACAGATTTGGGGAAACCATTAAAATTTTGTCTCTATATTCAGTGTCTTATAGAATAATCTGGATGGAATAATATGGAAGGAGGAAACCCTTATTCCCCAAAGAGAAATAATTTGGCTTCCAAACTGAAAAAAGTATTTTTGAAAATCAAGAGCCTCACATAATATCACATCTGATGGATGGGTGTGCATAGGTGCACGTCTAATCCTCCTCTGCCCAAAATATTCCAATTATGACTTCTATTGACCCTTGGGACTTGGGACTGGAATCAAGTTGTAGAATCATCCCACAGATACCACATTAAAGATTACACCTTGCACGTTGTCGTCATCTAATGAATTAACCTTGAAATCATCTTACCCGCCTCTTCTGTGCTTTTGATATTCTAGCAGGCTGGGTCTGTTCTCTGCTGTTCTCAATCTCCAGCTTTGCAATATTTAGACCTGCCAAATATTCCTAAATAATAAATAAAAATTACCTGAAATATTTCACAAAGAATTTCTTATAGCCCTTCAATTTTAACAGAAACCATGTTTAAAGTTTTACAACATTCACTATCTCTTGATACTTTACACCATTTCTACCGCAGCCATCATTCTCTACAATCATCCATCTACATGATTCTGTGTTAATTCTAGTTCCCAGTTAGCTTGAAAAGACTTTTTCTCTTCTGGTAAGAGAACATTATCTATCAGAAATTCTATTAAATCCCATTATATTTGGGTTAAGAATGAAATAGACCAGTGTTACATTTCTAATGCACCCGATCCCAATATGTAGCACCAAGTTTCTACTAAAATCAGAAGAAAAACAATAGTCCCAATGCTAATAAATACAGGTTACAACATTAATTGGGATTGCAATTTCCGGACTGCATCACTTAGCAACAGAGATCCCAGCAGTCCCTGTTGCCGTCATTAACTGAATCCCACTGGTTGTTAGTAAAGGATCCACATCGATCCAAATCATTCTAGTCTTGAGCCCAACCAGCTCTGAGACTCAATAAGACAAGGGACTGCCTCTTCTTCAATCCCCAACTCCTTATCTCCCACCCATCTATGCCCTTTTAGCTGCCCTGAACAGTGGCACTTCTAGGCAGTGGTGGTGCTAGAGAGACCTAAACCAACGGCCACTACTGTCATACTTCAGTCTTAGTACCACTTGTACTGCCACTGTCGTTAAGTGCCACCTCAAACCCCATGCCAAAGCCAGCCACCCCAGTGCCACAGTACAAGGGCCCCATTGCTCTGGACTCAGAAGGCCCTGCTGCCCCAGCTATCCTTCACAGTTTCCTCCCCTCTAAAGCTGACATAGTGCACCCAGCCTGGCCTAATGTGAGGTAGTGGCTGCAGTGCCAGGCCTTCTTCCTGAGTCCGTGTGCGCCAGTGGTGGGATTGAATTTTTTTTTACTACCGGTTCTGTGAGTGTGGCTTAGCTTGGCAGACATGGCGTGGTGGGCGTGGCAGGGGAAGGATACTGTAAAATCTCCATTCCCACCCCAATCCAGGGGAAGGATACTGTAAAATTCCCATTCTCTCCCTACCTCACAACCTGCTTTCCAGTTCCATTCTCCTGTGCAGGGCAACAAAAGAAGACCCAGTCGATCAGCTGGGACTCGGGAGGCAGAGAATAGATGGGGGCGGGGCCAGTCAGAGGTGGTATTCCGAACTACTCAAAATTTCTGCTACTGGTTCTCCGAACTACTCATAATTTCTACTACCAGTTCCACAGAACTGGTCAGAACCTACTGAATGCCATCTTTGGTGTGCGCCCTTCTCCAAATCTCATTCTGCCTTCTTGCAATGGCCAACTCTCTTGTTCTCTTTCAGTTAGAGACAAAGAATGTTTTACTAACAACAGTTGTTTCCGTCTAACCTTGAGGTTCCATCTAGGAGTTCTAGAGCTGTACAGCCACTCTTCTACAAAAATTATCTCACTTCCCCAAACTCATATACATTTTATATAAAATCACTGCAAGGTCTCCAACTGTATTTCCAAGCAATTGCTTATTTGTTTTACTTATAAGAAAAAGTACTGCCCACAAATAAGTTCAAAACACAACAATTTTCAGAATGAAAAAGAAGTCCTTAGAAATATTTACTTTAAAAATACAACTTAGTAACTAGAAACACAACAAATGCATGGTATCTCAAAAATAAATGCTGCATACTTTATTCTGTTCAAGTAATGTTTCTTTTAACTTCTTTAGTTCCTCTTTGTGCTTCTCTTCCAACTCAGATTCCAGCTTGGCAACATCATCCAGCAGCTGTTTTCTTTTCTTTTTATCATTCTTTGGAACAGTATTTTTCATTCCTTGGATTTTGGCTACAGAAGCAAAAAGAGGTGAGATAAATGAAAAGCATCTTAAATTATTCTTGTCATTATTCATGATTTGAGTTACACGTGCATATTAAATCAAATAAAACTGCAGTAATCAGGAATCATATGTAGTCAGAACACAATTCAGCTCATTAGTTTGAGGTGCGTGTTTTGATGGGAAATAAGTTTCTTTTTTGTGAATAAATATGTCACATGTGATACTGTAAGTCCATGTAGTTGTGGGTCATGCAAGACCTGATCTGGATTCTTTCTGCCTGTCCTATGAAGACAAAACTGTAACTTTGGCTACAACAGTTGCTTTTGCTAGTAAACTTGCTACTAAAGCAGAAAGAGTAGAGATAGTAGCCTGGTAGATGGATTCAATTATAGCAACATTGGAGGTCCTGAAGGATCAGGCAGGTATCTGTCAGTTCATTGAGAATGAAATCTATGTAGTTGCTAAGACTTAACATGACTTAATGGTGCATAATCAAAAGAAAATTGTAGGATTGAAGAGGTTGCTATAAGAAGTAACATCCTGTTCTAAATAAGATATTACATTTTTTCAGCAATTTATATCATTCCTAGTTTTTCTAATTCCCCTACTTATTTTAAAATTTGAGTTTGAGAGGTATGTGTATACAGAAATGGTTATTTATTTATTGAGTAATGCAGGTCTGCAGAATTCCTACAGATTCTAAGTGATATACATCCACAGAATAAAATACAAATTATCGTATGTACTTTTGAATATTGCAAAATACTTGTCTCATGATTATTTCAAAAAGTGCTACACATATAAACACAAGCATTTTCAAAGCCACGCTATTCAAAAGATTATTTTAAAAAATATTATATGGAAGATCTGATTAATCAAAACTAAAATAAAGGTGTCACTTTTGCTCCAAGCACTGCAATGTAGCAAGGCCTGCATCTTAGGACAGCTCCTCGCGTTCTCATGACATCAGGGAAGCTCATGCAGCAGCAACACAGCCACCATTCTCTCCCCTGCCATGCATGGAAGCAAGCTGTACGGGACAACGCAGGATAATTGACGATGCAACAACATGAGTTTCTATGATTCCAGTCCTGTCATGTTGGTGCAATAGCTCAAGAAAATGGCTATAATTGCAGTTCTGACAGCATCAAGTTAATTTAGGATGCTATTTTAAAAAAAAAACACTCAAAATACATTTAAAGCAATTAGTAATATTTCATGATTCAAATATTTCCTACATTACAAGAGTTCAACTATTTCACACTGAAATTTAGATTTGGAGTCCTACGGCCAAAAATGGCTATTTCCATTTGTACCCAGAAAATCTGAAAGGCTCTACTGGGTTTTGAATATCACCCTTTCTTATGTTAGTTTTTTATCAAGATATTTGTTTCTGTTACACTTATCCATTATAGGTATTAAATATTAGGATGATGCTAGTATTATAATCAATGCATTTCTGTTGTTTTTCGTATGGCCTCATTTGAGACCTTCTACACCAGGGGTCCCCAACCACCGGGCCGCGGACCGGTACCAGTCCGTGGATCACTCTGTACCGGGCCGCAAAGAAAATAAAATAAAAAAAATGGCGGCTTTCTTCGCCTTCGGTGAATGCTGCTGGGATCAGGGATCAAGGACACAAATGAAAGAAGGGGAGGGAGGAAGCAACCAAAGCCTGTCCTGCTCTCCGGCTCAGCGGCTTCAGTTTCCTCCCACCTCATTCCTCTCTCAGTCGCTCTCTCGCTCCTCCACCAGCCCAGGAAGAAACTGCTTCAAAGGAGCCAGCAGGGTGGCTTTTCCTGTCGGCGCAGCTTCCCCGAAGCGCCCGTTCACCCCCACCCCGCCGCCAATCAATCCAGGTTCAATCCAGTGCTCCGTTCTGCCTGCCTGCCTTAGTTTCTGGTAGTTTCGGAGCAGCTTCGGCTGAGAATAATAACTATTCGCCTCTTTTACTCAGCCAAAGCTGCTCCGAAACTACCAGAAACCAAGGCAGGCAGGCAGAACGGAGCACTGGATTGAACCGTGGGCGGCGGGGTCGGGGTGAACGGGCGCTTCAGAAGAGCTGCGCCGACAGGAAAAGCCACCCTGCAGGCTTCTTTGAAGCAGTTTCTTCCTGGGCTGGTGGAGGAGCGAGAGAGCGACTGAGAGAGGAACGAGGCAGACACCTGAGGGATGAGGCTGAGGGAGGGAGGGAGACACCTGAGGGATGGGGCTGATGAAGGCAGGGCCGAGAGGCGAGGCTTCTCAGCCGTCCTGCAGGGACTATCTGTCGCTCAGGGTTGCAATGAGGAGGCATTGGCGTTCCCTGAACTTGGTGGTTTGCTGGCAGACGTTTTATTACCCGACTAGGTAACAACATCAGATGTTACCTAGTCAGATAATGAAACGTCTGCAAGCAAACCACCAAACTCAGACTCTTCCCTTCCCTCTCCCCCCCCCCCCTTGAAAAAGTGTTTCTGCGTGAAACTGGTCCCTGGCACAAAAAAGGTTGGGGACCACTGTTCTACACCATTTCCTTTTGAGCCTGGACTTTGTGTGGAAATCTGTTTATACATGTACAACACATACGTTGTACACTCATCGTACGTTCACAAATGCTCTGGTGAAACCCTCTCCCAAGAACCTTTTTTACAAAGCAACACACTTTTTGCTTATAAAAATGAAGCAGCCATGTCACTTGTTGGTTCAATTCACACTTGCAATGATTGGAAGCTGCTGCTGAGGCTGCAGATGTGCCGTACGAGATGTCTACATGCCAAAGCATCCAGAAGTTTCTTCCAGATTTTGCAAGTGCTCTATCAAACTATGTCAAAAGCTGTGAGATGATGTAAAGCGCCTCACTTGAAGCATGTCGAATCCCAGTGCAGAGACTCCATATACAATATATACCTGCACATTCTCACTCGTAACAACACTCCAGGCATCTCATGAAGAGGCTGAAACCCACAAAAGCTCATTAGCTTTGGTACACAGAACTCTGTGCCTCTGCTTACATGACAGACATGCCACAAATAAGCCAATTACAACTAAGCTTTCCATACTATGCATCCAACCAATAGTTAGTTTATAGTTTAGCGTGTCACATTATGATTTTAGCCAGAGTGATACTATGATTAGTCAAGTCATAATGGATAAACAGATCTGGAATGATTTCAAACCACATGCCCCCTAAACCTTGGAAGCCCACACGATGCCAGGGCTGTTTGTTCTCCCTGATCGACTGACCTACTCTGTTCCTACTCTGAAGAGGGAATGCTATATGTACCAATCTTGAGCTCCTGGACGAAACAAGATAAGATCTCCTTCAAGATGATCCCAGGTTTGATATGCCCACGTCATCGTCTTGACAACATTACATGGTTTGGGTCCCTGCCTTCTTCCTGGACGCGTTTCCATCTAACCCCGATGTTTCCTTATGGTTTTTCATCCCAAATACTAACCTGATTCAACCTATTCAGTTTTTTTGGGGGGGGGGCGGGGGGGGAACCAGCCACGGTCATCTAGAAGTTGCCACCCTGCCCTGCCCTGGAAAAAAAGCAGGCTGATAAAACTGGGTGGATCAAATCCTGGGTCAGCGTGTCTTGCCAACATAGCGCAGTAGCTGGTTTCGGGATACAGGTTTACCCTGCAAGCTTTAAAGGCTATTTCTGCAATCCTCCTCCCGCTGCCCGGATTTGTGCCGCCGCCGCCGCCGCTCTCACCCTGCAGCTCCCGCTTCTCCTTCCGCTGCCGCCTGGCCAGCACCTCCAGCGCGCCGCCCTCCTCCTCCTCTTCTTCTCCCTCCGCCTCCTCCGCCACCGCGGCTGAGCCGCCTCGCCCGCGCCCGTCCATGGCGGATTCAGCACCACCGCCCAGCTGGCTGTGCTATCCACGTGCGGGTAGAGGGGGCGGGGCCGGCCGAAGACACGCCCCTTACGCAACGTCCTTGCCCAGCCGCAGTGCAAAGAGATAAGAAAATGGGAGGAACGAGGCTGGGGATTTATAGAGCTATAAAGTCAAGAGCAGGGGTCTTCAAACTTCACAGCTTTAAGACTTGTGGACTTCAACTCCTCCAGTCATGTTAGCTCAGGAATTCTGGGAGTTGAAGTTCACAAGTCTTAAAGTTGCCAAGTTTGGGGACCAGGATAAACTTCAGCGCAAGTTTGGGAGGAAACTTTCAGAGAAAGTTGTCTTCAAAGAAATCCAAAATTCCACAAAACTGGGATGGCGGGTGGGAGAGGGGGCAACGAAGGCTTGCTTTCCTCTTGAAGGTGGCGTGTTTTTCTGTAAAATATTGATCTGGTTGCCCTGCTGAGGAACTATGACTAAATAAATTATGGTGACATGGTGGCGAACACGTGTCCTCCCTTCAAACTTTGTTGTTAACTTGAAGTGAAAAACTAGAGGTTTTTTTTTTTTACCCTTCGAAAGTCTAAATCAGTGCTTTTCAAAACTGGCAACTTAAAATGTTTTCATAAAATTCCTCAGCCAGCATGCTGATAGTTGAAAGTCCACACGTCTTAAATTGACAACTTTAAAAAAAAAAAAAAACACCACAAGTCTAATCTTTATATATCTATATTTATGACAAGAAAGGAAGAGGGTATGCGGCTAGGAAAAAAAAGCCCTCGGTCTAAAGGCGGCACGCCACCGTATGGCTATGTGAGATATTGCATCTTCAAGTGGTTTTTTTTTCCCGCAGCTTCTGTTCTCTAGCTTCAAATTAAGACTCTTGTGGTAGGTGATGTAAACGTGGCAAAGATTTACTGAATTTGGGTTTAAAAATACTTCTTCTCCGAACCAAACTAGAAGGCGAGGCAGGTGAACAAAACTAAAACATGGGCCTTTTTGTAAGGATAATTAGGACTTAAATGATTAGCATTACAGTCCTAGATGGATCTCCTAAGAAAATCCTTAGTGAGCTCAAGAGGAATATAATTCTTGCTATAATTTTGTACTACTGCAAGAATTCATAACAATAATACAAATCCACATTATAAAGAGAATTTAAGACAACGTTGCTTGCCTATGGCCCTTCAGGTGTATTAAAAATTAAAAACTGTATAGTTACCCATCTCTATTGTATGAATAGCAAGAAACATATTAAAATCATTAGAATAAAGAGTGGATATATCAAGCTTTAATGGAGGTGGGGGGGAGTTGGGTGAATAAGGTTGACTTACATAAGGGATATCTTTCAAGGGGAAGAATGTAGAAGCAGCCCCAGAAATATTGTTAGATTATAGTAACTGTTTGCAGTGTTAGATCCAGTTCATATTTCCAATGAGAACACATTTAAGCCTCAGGACTGAATGATCTCACATGTATCTAAAAATAAGTTAGGAAGAATAGCAGAAGGATTAAAAAGCCATGACAGAAATGCCATATGGAATACATAATGAAAATGGTACTCAAAACTATATCAGGACCATGTCATAACCACCCTGGCTATCCTATGCTTTGTCAGCATACTATGACATAGTCCCGATATGGGGCACTGAGGACTTGGAAAGAAAGCACTGTAGTTAATAAATAACAGAATAACAGAGTTGGAAGGGACTTGGAGGTCTTCTAGTCCAACCCCTGCTCAAGCAGGAAACCATATAGTATTTCAGACAAATGGTTGTCCAATCTCTTCTTAAAAACTTTCAGTGTTGGAGAATTCACAACTTCTAGTGGCAAGTTGTTCCACTGGTTAATTGTTCTAACTGTCAGGAAATTTCTCCTTAGTTCTAAGTTGCTTTTCTCCTTGATTAGTTTCCATCTATTGCTTCTTGTCCTGCCCTCAGATGCTTTGGAGAATAGTTTGACTCCCTCTTTTTTGTGGTAACCCATGATTAGTAACACTGTTGTTAAGTGAACCTGGCCTTCCCCATTGACTTTGCTTGTCACAAAGGTTAGGGTGTAAAGTCTGATATGCACATACAGTGTTAAACAGCTAAAGATTACAATTACAAATGACTAATTATCCAGAATCTTGAGTTTAACTAGATATGGGTTTTCTTGTGACAAGTTCCTTCCAACTTCTCTATTTTTGACATTATGTTGTATAGTATCTTGGAAGAAGATTGAGACAACAAATATATTTAAGTCTTTAGTACAGTGAAACTTCGATCTGACTTTTTGGAAAAAATATATTTGTTCACTGGGAAACATATTGGGGGTGTACATACCATAAGATATTTATTTAATAAAGAAGAGAATATGAATTAACTAGGATAGTTGGATTGCGACTCAGAAAGCAATACTGCATCAGGAGTGCCAGACATAATATTGATCATATGAGTAAAAATTACAAGAATAAGGGTCTTTCCAAGCAATAGAACTTGCCAGTTCATTATATTCATTAACTGTTTCAACTCCTTTGCTCAAAATGACAGTATAGAGGACTGCACACCAGAACAACTAGACACAAGAAGAGTTTTTCCCCGAACGCATCACTCTGCTAAACAAATAATTCCCTCAACACTGTCCAACTATTTACAAAGTCTGCACTACTATTACTATTAATCTTCTCATCACTCCTTATCACCCATCCCCTCCCACTGTTGACTGTGTGACTGTAACTTTATCGCTTGTGTCCTTATGATTTATATGGACTGTTTCCTAGTATGATTTGATTGCTTATTGTACCCTATGACTATTATTAAGTGTTGTACCTTATAATTCTTGACACTTGATGAATGTATCTTTTCTTTTATGTACACTGAGAGCATTTGCATCAAGACAAATTCCTTGTGTGTCCAATCACACTTGGCCAATAAAGAATTCTGTTCTATTCTATTCTATTTTCTTTGCACTCCATGTATTTCTGTCTATTTCTGTTTCTTTGTAGGTTTTGTGCTTTTTAAAAATTCTGCAAGATTGCTTTATCTGTTTTCTTCCATACATTCAGGATAGTACATGAAATAAAAAGCCTGCAAGGTTTAATTGTGGATGGCACAGCATGGCTTACTGGAGGAAGCTTTTTATAAATAAAGGTTTTGAAGGTTTTACTGATTTATTTGCTGTACATTTTTTCACAACCACAACTGAAGATGTTCATTATAGGGAAACATCTAGTAGGGGATCTGATTGCCAACAGACTGTAAATCAGTTAAAATTTATCAGCAAGTATTCTTGAAAATGTTGCTGTGAAAAGGACATTGAATATATATGCACAAAACAAACAAGTTGAATTTATAACTTCTCTATTTTTAATTTTGCACGATATAATACAAACCATTATGGTGGTATGCAATAGTGTTGGAAACCATGATCTATGGCTTATTGTGTTGTGTGAACATGCCAATTGTGTTTAATTTACAAGTCATTGCTTAGTATATGTCAATCCAGTCATAACAAAATAATTGTGCTTGCATTGCAAAGGTGGGGAAAACACTTTGTTTTTAATATAAGATTAACCACTTTTGGACTTTCAAACTGATATGTGCACAATAACCATTACACTGAAATTTGAATGCATTCCAATTTTGCTCTACAGTTTCACCAACATAGAATATGGCCAAAATTAATATATTGGAGGAAATACATATAACTGTAAATTGCTGAAAATAAGCCACAGATATGCATTAGATTGGTAAAATTGCTTGCAAAAATATAAAATTAGAGTAGATACCGAATTGTACATATTAGGAGAAAGATGCATTAAAATCCATATTAGTGCAGAAATAAAGACAATCTAACAAACTTGGGTTAAAACAATGATAAATTGGAAGATAAGAGATATCTTTTATTGTCATTTTTTGTAAGCACACTGGCCCACATTAAAAATGAGATTCTGTTGCCTGTTCTCAAGAAAGACTCTATATCTACCCAAACACATACATAACACATCTACACATTCCCATATACGTACATAAATATATACCATTCATTGATATGACCATTCCTATATTACACAAGAAATGAGTAACCCTTTGAGAGAATGGATATTCAACTTTTCTTCTGTGGTCAAATATCTATTTGGTCTATTTATTTTCACAAAAATATAAGAAGTTCTGAAACATCTAATTTTATTCTGTTCTTTTAGTATCAGGCAGAGTTCTCCTTTTACATTAATAGAAGTTATTGTTTTAAAAACAAAATATTTATCCCAGTGGTAGGATTCAATTTTTTTTACTGCCAGTTCTGTGGGCGTGGCTTGGTGGGCGTGGCAGGGGAAGGATACTTCAAAAACTCCAGTCAGAGGTGGTATTTGCCTGTTCTCTGAACTACTCAAAAGTTCTGCTACCAGTTCTCCAGAACTGGTCAGAACCTGCTGAATACCACCTCTGGTTTATCCTTCTGGTTATGACTTCATGGGGTTTGGGGTGCAGTGGCACTGCCAAGATTGGGGAGACTGTGGTCAAGAATGGATGTTTTTCTTCCCCACCCCCTTGCATTTTAAGAGAATGAAGAAAAAAAATACTAGAAGTTTGGTGTGAAGAGACAAAGCAGGAGGGGGCAGGATTGGACATCTAATCCAACATTTCTCAACCTTAGGAACTTTCAGATACTTCAACTCCCAGAACCCTTTAGCCAGCAAGCTGCCTGGAGAATCCTGGGAGTTGAAAACCATATATTTTAAAGTTGTCAAGGTTAAGAATCACTGATCCAATTGTACCTTATTTGGAAGCTTCTCTTGGCTGTGTGGACCTTGGACCTGTTCCTGCTGGTGCAACCAGTAGAGCACCCCCACCTACATGA